CTTCCGGCGGACACTTTTTTGGCTGAGTAGACCATCTTGTTATGTACTATCTTTGATGTAACATAAAATAATATCATGGTCTAACTGTATTCGATACTGTTGGCGATTACACCAAGATAAGCTGTAGGCCTAACAAAGAAATATATTGTATAGCCTAGGCCTAGGCTAGTAAAATACTAGTCCTAGTCGCTGTTCCCCAGTCGCCGTTCCCCTGTAAAATGACGTCTGCAGTCGCTGTTCCTTGGCGCAGCGAGTCTCTACAATCTGTTCCCCTAATTTAATTCATGTTTGTAACATGTGGAAGTGATATGTGCAGAAAAAGATTTATTCAAATGATACACTTCGCTCTGCTTTTTTTTTCCCTGGGCACACCCTGTACTTGATGTGATAATCTTACGTGATGGTTTTCCCATTAAAACATATTTTTTAAATACTAAGTATTGTTTTATGTTAATTTGCGCTTTTGCTATGTAGCACGCGTATAAAGCGGAAAGGGGGGAGTCAGCTGGGGTTGACAGCAAGCTAGATGTGATAAAACTAGATCTAGAGCCAATAGACAGATGTTACTCGGTACAAAAAAATCGGAATGTGATGGACTAAGCCCTCAAGCTTATTACCGAGATATTACGTTAGACTTGTGTTGGGTTTCTTTTTTGTCATTGTTTTTGTTTGTTCATTCGTTGCTATCGTTTTTATTGTTGTTATAGTTGTTGATGTATTTTGTTTTTGTCTTGTTTTGGGGGTTTGTTTGTTTTTTAAAAGAAAAATTGACATTTATTAACAGAGTGTCATCGACACGCTGTTCTAGTGCCCTAAGTCTAGAAACAATAAGTTTTAGGAGAGAGGAAAAAAACCATTATATCTTTCTTTTTTTTTTAACGAACCCTGCTCTATGAAAATCGGTGAAAAAAAAACAACCGAAAGATAAATGCTTTATCTACTGGTCGACATGAATCTTCTCATGAAAAGATGTATTTAAATTATGAGATGTATAACTGAGCACATTGCTCGATCCACTTTTGGCACTGATGAAATGGCAATGTATCGAACTACCATACACTATTTTATTGCGTTACCACTTTGATTAGGCAGAGACTTTGGCTATGCGTGTCAGTTAAACTATACTGAACGTAAAACTCTGAAGGATTAATGATAATGTACTATATTAGTAACATCACATCATGGTAGATTTATAATAGAGATTTAAGAAATAATGTCCCTTCCAAACACAGAGGACGGGGGTCACGAAAAACAGTTAGAATATGTTTCAAGCTGCTCATAATGAAGCTGTAGTCTTGCACACATGACGTGTATAAAACAATTAACGGCGGTTTAGTTTCTAACCGACACACCACACCCCCTTCTCCACAAATTTCAGGATCACGCGGCGGCAGATGCATACATTCAAGAACCAACCAAGAAAGATACAAAAGAGTTTTATAGCTTTCAAAAATCAGTGGAAGACTCCTGCATAGAGTTTGAGATATCCGTCAAGTGTATCATTTTTTTATTATTGTTAGCTGTAAACGTTTGTTCCATGTAGTTGTGATGTGGACAGTGGAGACAGATTTGAGACCATAGTCATAGAAAACTATGACAGTACATGAAACAAAAGGGAAAAAAACAGACTTTTAAACCATTTGGATAGGCTTGTCAAATCGTTATCCTGCCCCCAAAGTGAAACAGTGAAGCTTTAATTCAGTCTAGTCAAATTATTTATTGTTTTGGCACGTTTTACGTCTACTCCCGGGGAAGTTTCTTTGTTTATTCCGCAGGAGAAAATGTTAAACCTCAATCTATGAAGACATTTGCTGGTGTATAATAATGTTATGAGAAGCCCGCATATTTTCTGTTAATCTACCTTTTCTCGGAGTAACAAAGCTCCTATGGGTTGGGGGTTGTTTAACCCATCATAATATCGTCCCTTTCGGCTCAGCATCAGGTTCTTCTTGACCAGTCTTGGATAATGTGCAATTAATTATTATCCCATTTTTGTCACCAGCACCTTAATCTTTACAATGCATTGTGCACATATTCGGTATATTTATCAGAAGCTCTTCGTAAAATGCCTTTAAGGTACAGGCCATTGTCTGGGGGGAATTGCCATGTGATGGTCTTAAACCAAACACTTCGAGATAATGCTGCCTAGCAGACTGTGAGCTCAGGACATTTCGCCTACGTCAATATGACGAGTTGAGGATTAAGATTTAGGACATTACCGGCGTCTGGCGTCAGTGTAGTAGTGGGGCATCAGTATACAGGAGCATGAACAAGTTCTCACGTGAGTTTTAAGAGCTGAACGACATTTCAGCATACCTATCAAACTTTTCGATTTCGACGAAAATAGTTCATCATAATTATTATGTTACTCTTTACAGAAAAGGACTCTGTAGATTCCCGACAAAATCAGAAGAACCATGCACCATGGGATGACTTTGATTACTTGCAAATCGTGGTCTACGACCTTCATGGGCAGGCCAGAGGAAGGCTTGTGCATGGCAGCGCTATGGAAGAGATAATGGAGCTAGGGCAAACTGTGTACTCGGGTAAGTTGATTCGAGACTAGCGAGCATTGCATCGGACTTATGATCGCAAGACGGGAGTTCGATCCCGGGCCCTTCTAAACTGAGCAGGGTATTTAGAGAAATCTTCCTAAATTTGGAATTTGCATTTGGTATATGAGTTGCAGTACTGAAAATGAATGCTCAGAAGTGGACAGTTAATATTTCTTCTTATGAACAAGGAGATGTCAAAATTATCCTATGTAAAACCCAACAGCAACTTTGCACTCAGAAGCATTAGAACATAAAGAAAGGTTCTGAAATGTTATTTTCAGTGAGAAGGCTAAAAACTAGGTAAACGTATTTACTTTGATCTTACATTGTCAATGGAACATCAAATCAACCAAATGTGTAAACAAATTTTAATGTATTGTTAAAAAAAGAGGAAAATTCTCCCCTGATCCTCATCTCAGCCTTCATTTTATCAAGACTCTACTGCAATTTTCTTTTTGCCATTTTAAGTTTGGAAATGATTAACAGACTGCAGAGGTTAAAAAACAGCTACCTTAACCCCACCCACAAAAAACAACGCATCACAACTCATTCTTTCAAGTCAAAAATATACCTGCCTGCCTGTACTACAGTTTTACTGTATTTATATAGTGGTGTCCAAAAGAAACTTGAAAATGTAATCTCCCAATGATCTTGTTATAGCCTTGTACTACCAGCTCATGCAGTATACCTATTTAAGGCTACATAAATACTGCATTATTTGACGTATTAATATTTCATCTATATTAGGAGACGCCCGAGATATGGTCACTCAAAATTGACTTTTAAAAATCAGGCTTGGCAAAATTATGCAAAATCAGAGAAACGTAAAAGTATGTTTGCGCGTATATTGAGGTGCATCAAAATAGGTTGAATGGACTTGTTTTGAATATCAAATGAAAAGAGAATATTATTTTCTCTGCAATGAACAGTATCTTCTGAGGATATTTTCAAACAGATTAGAAGACAGAGCAGTTACAAAAGACCAAGCAAAACCTGGACTTAACCGTTACATGACGAGTTCATTAGTTTAAACTTTGTTATGGTTTAGGGGGTATTGTTTTCGTGCCGAGCACGAACCTTTTTCGCACATGGACTGTGTTAGTTAGATTTGGGACATAATCATGTATCAGTGAGGAACAGAGGTCACGACATTGTCATGGTTTTGGGTGGTTTGAAGTTGAATGAACAAAACCGCCCTCGCGAGAATCACTTGATGGCTTGGTTTAGAGAGCTACGTCCTGCAAGTGTGGAACATAATGTCTTACCCTCATTTTGGTCATGGTATCATTCAAGTAGACATCTCCAGGCAGAGCAAAGCATTTTCTAACAGGACCACTACACAATTCTTAGAAAACCAAATCAAATCAACGTTGGATTGGTCACCAGTAAAGAGCCCCGATATGAATCCTGCAGCTATGTGAAGTCCTATGAAACAGCAGTTAAAGAAACGCGACCTTGCTCCCATTTCAGACCCTTTGTTTGCAACTCTCTGTGATATTTGGGATGAGAAGACAAATAGGTATGCCCAAAGAGTTCGTGGACTACACAAAACCAATTGCCCCAAAGCAAAATGACAATTGGTACATTTAACATTAGGATTAGGTCCAAGTATTGCGTGGTATTTGTGATTGCTCTGTTTTCTATTTTTGTTTGAAAGTAGATCTATCGTGACAAACATGTAATGAAATGGTGTTTATTGCTGAGACTAAGTTCTCCATTCATTGGATATGCAATGTATGTCCATTCTATAAATAACGATGCCCCTCAATACACGATCGAAGACAACTTTTTACGTTTCTTTGATTCCGTACAATTTTGCCAAGCCTGATTTTTTAAAGTTAATTTTGAGTGACCATATCTCGAGCGTCTCTTAATATAGCTGAATTATTACTGTGTCAGACGATGCAGAATTTATTCAGCTTTAAATTGATATGCTGCATGAGTGGGTAATGCAATGTGATTACATTTCCAAGTTTCTTTTGGAAGCCACTGATAATACCAAGTATAGATGTACAGAAAAGTGGGAAGATATGGAGTGACCTCAAGGGACTAGCCCAGGATAGGGAAGGGTGGAAAGTGTTTGTTCATGGCCTATATCCAGATCCAGTTTAAGAAAGGCAATGATGATATGATACCATAGGTTTTAACTGATTCTTCGGCCGTTATCGTGACAATTCGTT